TCCACGATGAGAGTTCTGCAACCAAGCTTCCACGCCAAATTGACTCCATGATACAGAGCCCACAGCTCCGACATAGCAGCTGAGCAAGTGTCAAGGCTCACGACAAAACTTCCTACCCAGCTGCTACTTGTATCTCTCAAAAGACCTCCTGCGCCTGCAATTCCCTGATGGCTGTTCGAAGCCCCATCAACATTGAGCTTCAGCCAGCCTGGTGGAGGCGGCTTCCATCCGATCTGAGACAGAGTACGCTGCGGAGCCAGCTTGTTCCGCCCAGGACCTAGCCTCGGGGCATTCCAAGCACGAAACCACAACTCGGCCTTAATCCGAATCGACTGAACGAGGGAAGGTGCCGAGAGAGTCTTGCTCAGACCATGGAAAACAACTTCATTCCTATTTTTCCAGATGCACCAAAGAGCAATACTGAAAAACACATTCCAGGGCATATCGGAAGGAGAGGCTTCATCGCAAGTCACATTATTCTCCAGCCAATCGTCCCAATGTTGATTGAAGAAAGCCTGCTGCTTCTCAACACTAATCGTGCGACACTAGAGGAAAGCAGTAGCCAGACAGTCTCTAAAAATATGGAGGAGCGTCTCATCCTGTGAAGTGCATCTATAGCAGGTTGCGTCCAGGGTCAGATGGCGCTTCACCCTTAGCTCATTTGAGCAAATTCTCCCCTGCGCAATCAACCACATAAAGAAGCATACCCTTTCAGGTACGGCTAGCCTCCACAACGTCTTCCACATACGTTGGTTCCCACCTTCTACTGGGGGATGCATCATCTGATAAGCGCTCTTTGAAGAAAACCTCCCGTCCGAAGTTGGTCTCCAAAACAAGGTGTCTTCCTCTGTTGCTAAAATGTCGACAGCCTGTGCCGTGTTCTAACGTTGGATATCCATGGGCAGGATAGCGTTGAATTTCTCCGTCTTCCAGTTCCCATCTTCATCAACATAATTGGCCACCATCAGGTTCCGATCCTCCTCTGGAATTTTGTCTAATGCTAGCTCCTGGAGAGGTACCTGCTTCAACCAAATATCCGACCAGAATTTAGTTTGGTTACCCCTATGGATATTCTAGGCGCAACCCTTCTTAAGAAGATCAGTTGCCTTAGTAAGGCTAGCCCAGGTAAAGGAACTTCCCTGAACCGGTCTCAAAATGTCGGTGTTGTTGAGATCTTTCCCATACTTTGCCCGAACCAATTGAACCCAAAGGGAATCCTTCTCCTTGATAGTGCGGCATCCGCCCTTAGCCAGCATAGCTAGATTCACATCCCTAGTCGCTCAGATACCCAACCCTCCATTCTGCTTAGGAAGAAGCTGTTGCCAGCCCACTAGATGGAGCGTCTTCTTGTCTTCAGTGTCTCCCTAAATAAAACTTCTATTCATCCGCTCAAGCGACCTACAAACATTCATCGAAAGGAGTTCTGTTTGCCTAGGATAAATGGGAATAGAAGCAGAGATAGACTTCACTACAATAGTCCTGGCCGCGAGGGAGAGATGTTTTGTTTTCCAAGGAGCTAGCTTCCTCTGAATCCGAATCATAAGGTCCTGATATATGGTCTTGGTCACCCTTCCGTGAATGGCCATCACCCCCAGGTATCGCCCAAGGTCAACCATAAGGGGAATACCCACTCTGGAGAAAGCCTCCTAGCAACTCTTCTGTCAATGTTGGAAGAGACAAACATAGCTGGCTTCCCATAGTTGACCCGCTGTCCGGAGCTCTGGCAGAAATCATCAAGGCATTGCTTGATTATCCGTACCTGAGCCCCATCTGCCTCTACAAAGAGAATAAGATCATTTGCAAAAAAACAGGCGAGAAACCGCAGGCCCCTCTTTGGAAAGCCTGAGAGGCTTCCATAGTTTATCATTGATAGCCTGGTCGATCCTAATGGAGAGACATTCCATACACAGAACAAAGAGATAGGGGGAAAGGGGGTCTCCCTAACGGACTCCTCTGGTGGGAGTGATCGGCTCTGAAAGCTCTCCATTCCATAGCAGCCGCATCTTGTTGTTCTCGACACAGAACATGATGTAGTTGATCCACGAGCTAGGAAGCCCAACTTCTGTGAGAGTATCCCACAGAAAGTCCCACCAAAGCCGATCATAAGCTTTCTCAAGGTCAATTTTAAGCACCATGCCTCCTCTCTTGCCTTTCTTCTTCCTAAGGTAGTGGAGAACTTCCTGCAAAACAATAATGTTGTCAGTCGTCTACCTCCCTGGGATGAAGCTGCTTTGGCGGGGGGATACCAGCTTTCTCATCATGGGTTTGAGCCGGTTTGTGATGGCCTTAGTTATCACCTTCAGACACACATTGTTGAGGAAGATCGGACGCAGCTGAGAGACCATCTCCAGGTGTTCCACTTTCGGGATAAGGACCACCGTCGACTCTACCACTTTCTCCGGCAGAATACCAATGGAGAAGAAGCTCATAGCCATGTCAGTAAGAGCTTTCCCTACCACACTCCATGAGTTTTGAAAGAAAATGGCTTGAAAGCCATCTGGTTCTGGAGTCTGAAAAGGTTTCATATCGTGCACCGCTCTGTGGATGTCTTTTCCCGTGAAAGGCCGGAGGAGACACTACAGATCTCCATGGGTGAGCCTTGGAAAAGCTTGCTTAAGCATCTCATACGTGTACTCCTGACTGTCCTGCAGATACAAAAAAGAGAAAAAGTAGAAAACCAAAGCCGCCAACATATGGGGGTCCAAAACTCACTCCCCATTGCTGACTTTTAGGTTCTCGATCTTATTTCTCCGCCGCCGAATGTTGGCTTGTTGATGGAAGTACGCCGTATTACGCTCGCCAAACTGGACCCATTTTTCTCTAGCCCGTTGATACCAAAGAATTTCTTCTTGCTCTAAGACCTTGTCAAGCTCTTTCTCTAGTTTTGTCTGCAACTTGAAAAGTCCTGGAGAAAAGTTGTGGCCACCTTACCTTGGATGCCCTGGATGCGTCTCAATAATCTCATCTTCCTTTGGAAAACATTCCCAAAAGTGGACCGGTTCCATTGGGAGAGTTTGCTGGGCACCTCCTGTAACGCTTCTTGAAGTGGAGCCTGTGAGTTCCAACAATCAGACAAGAAAGAGTCATAAGTATTATGAGTAAGCCAAGCTCCTTCAAAACGAAAGGGACGAGTAGGGGAAGATTGAACTCCCTGATTTCCGATCGCGGTCAGGAATGGGTGGTGGTCTGAGTGGAGCCGCAGAAGATTGATAACGGAAGTATTAGGGAAAGCCATGTTCCAGGCTGCATTACAGAGGCTCCGATCAATCCGAGTGGATTTATAGGAGTTAGAGTTTTCACCCCTGGTCAGACAAGAAAGAGTCATAAGTATCATGAGTAAGCCAAGCTCCTTCAAAACGAAAGGGACGAGTAGGGGAAGATTGAACTCCCTGATTTCCAATCGCGGTCAGGAATGGGTGGTGGTCTGAGTGGAGCCGCAAAAGATGGATAACGGAAGTATTAGGGAAAGCCATGTTCCAGGCTGCATTACAGACGCTCTGATCAATCCGACTGGATTTATAGGAGTTAGAGTTTTCACCCCTGGTCCAAGTAAATCCGGGACCCAAAAACCCCAAATCCATAAGCTCCTCCTGATTAATCCTATCATTGAAGCGTTTGCAGCGGCAAAAAATGGCAGAAGTGACCTGTCTTGCTTGTTCAGATGGCATCCTGATCGAATTTAAATCACCGGTAAGTAGCCAAGGAAGATCAAGCTCTTCGCTGGTCCGAAAGATGGAATGCCACAAGAAACGCTGCAAACTCTGTCTTGGGCTAGCATAGACGATCGTGACACACCATGGGGGAGCTGATGCCATCGAAATCTTCATTGTGAGGTGTTGAAAACAAGCTGACATAACTTCCACGGTGAAAGCTAGAGCATTCCAGCAAAGCCATATTCCGCCTTTCCTTCCCTTTGCCTCCACCCACATAATGTTTGGGAATCCTAATCTTCCACATACTCTATCCGCCACCGCTCCACTGATCTGCGGTTCCAGGAGAATCAATAAGACAGGTTTCTGATCCTGCACAATAAGCTTAAGGGCTCTGATGAATGCGGTGTTACCAGAACCTCCCACGTTCCAAGATAGAATTTTAAAATTCATATTGGTAGAAAACGACATAACAGAGAAATCAAAGGAGAAGAGAAAGGATATGGAGATGTAAAGGATTGGGCGCAACATTAGGTTGACTCTGGGAGATTCGCCGATGGGTTTGTCCCGTCTGTCTTGCTCGTCTCCGTCAACCCCGGCGAGGCTTCCAATTTCGAGCTCGCTTCAGCCGCTACCGTCCAAGCTGCTATCTCCTGCAGGGTGAGAGATGCCATTCTTGTTCGGGATTTGCTTTTCTTATCCTTCACCGGAGACCAGATTTGTAGAGCTTTGGCCGCAACTGTCATCGGCGGCTTCCTTGGAGATTTGGATTTCTTCTTGTTTTGATTTTTCTTATTTTTGGTCCTCGAGGCCGCCGATGGGTTCTCACTCATTTCCTCCAGATCGCGTTTTGAAACATATTGTTGGACATCCACAATTTGGATTGAGGTGTTGTTCGGCCCCGTTAACACTTGAGTGCTCGGCGGCCCAGATGAAGGAGTCCCATGATTCGCCTTGTCCGGAGGTTTGGGATTTACATTCTTGCGCCCAAAGTTAGGGGCCGCTATCTCCATCATTGTACTTGGGCCAGATTCCACTGTGGTTTGGTTTTGGCCCAAGAGATTCTCCTTAGGAGTAAGAGGGATGGGGTCCAGAACACCTTTGCCACTCGTCGCTACTTCAGCGGATCCTTTCCCAACTTTTTCTTTCCCTTTTTGTTGGCTCCCTGACACTTTCCCTTTTTCCAAATTACCAAACTTCAAGCTTTCCACCCATTGAACATGAGCATCCTTCTGCCCCCCTTTGTTCCTAGCGTTACCTTCCATACTTTTCAGCCCATTCTTTCCTTTTTCGGTTTTTCCAGAAATAGAAGGATCACCGTGATTCCTGTTTGAGTTTCCTTTCTTAGGGCTAGGGGAACCGCCGCGTGACTTGCATCCATGGGCCAAATCCCATTTTTTCCTCTAGAGTCGCCGGCGAGCAAAACTCTGGTGAGCTCACCATCGCCCCAGCCACCGACGTCGGAAGCAGAGAGGGGTAGGAAGTGGTCGTATGACCGACTTTACCGCATTCGAAACATACCATCGACAGATTTTCATATTCAATGTATTTCCATTTGCCATCCAGCCGAATCTGCGTCACAAGAGGTCTAGTCAGGTCGATCTCAACGGCCACCCGGGCGAACTTTGCGCGTTGTTGGTGTAGCGTGTGGAAATCCAGTTTGAGGGGTAGGGCGGTAGCTGCTCCCAAACTACCATAGTTCTAGGCAACGCGTCTGAAAGTCAGAAGGCGGGAGTCCATTGGAAGACTATCAAGTAGTGATCAAAGATCACCCAGGGGTCTTCCGTTAAGGCTCTGTAGTAGTCTGCGTCGTTGCTGAGTTTCACTAGAAAGCACTCCTGCCCATGAGCCATTATCTCAACTGCGCCGGCGGGTCTCCATAGCGCCTTGATCTTATTACTGAACATTATGAAGGAGATGTTCAGCCCCATAGTTTATACTACAAGAGTGCGTTTTCACTGTGTACAGAGCTTCTCCTCGAAGACGTTGGAGACCTTCAACTCCGGCTCTCCACTGAAAAGTCCCAGAATCAGATCGTGCTCTCCCATGGGAGTCTATGAGATTTTAGGTTTATTTGGCTCCAAACTCTGTCCCGACACGATATGCGCATAAGAGATAGGTTTACTTGGTAGTGGCTGAGTCACTTTGTCCGCCGGTGGAGCCAGGTCCACCATCATCGTCGTCGCAGCCATCGACGTGACCGGAGGCACTGTCAAAGCCGAGACTATTCCTTAAGCCATTGAGTTACACGCGTCGGGCGGCCTTCCTGAGGGGTTAAGATCTGTCGCCGGTGAGGGTTGCAGAGGGTTCATTTCAGAGCAATTTTAAAAGTGTAGGATGGTTGAATACATAAAAAACCGTAGGATTTTAAATTGCATATAGAAACTAACATATAGTCATATTAGTAAAGTAAATCATTAATAACACCAAGACACATAACCTTTAAAATGATAATTCTCAAGCTTAATGTTTCAAACTTACCACTTTAATTGTTATTAAATGCGTAACTCAAAATAATTCACGAGGAAAGGATAGAGCTCATGGGGTTTGGCTCTTGTTTTTCATGTTGTGTCTAGGTAGTTTAACTCAAAGTAGTACTTCGGCCCGATTAATTTCAACATCGTATGCTAATCATGATTTACTACTAAGAATAAATGAACTCCAATCAAATCATAAATGATAGTGGCTTGGTACAAATATATTAATTAATCAAGTAATTAGTTCATAATGATGTTAATTCTTACATACGTACAATATTAGGACAACTATTTTACCAATGAGTTCAACCGGGCGAAGGGAAAGGGATTGTCCGAGCCCTAATTTGATTTTTATTTTTCTTTTCAAATGTTTTTTAATAGAAAAATATATGAGAAGATCCTCATCATTGCCCTTTCCACCGAAGCAGTTCCGCTTTTTAAAAATGTGCTCAAACCGCCTATTTTTGTTCTCATGCCATTTTAATCCCGATTTTAGTACGATTTTAATCCCAATTTTGAATGATTTTAAGGTCCATTGATGTTATTGTAAAATTCATATTGGAATCCCAATGTAAAATTTTAAAATCCTAAAATTTTATGATTAAAATCCCGATTTTGACTGTTTTGATTACTCATATATTTGATATAATTTATAAATATGTGAAACAATGTAATGACTTTTTCATAGGCTAAATCTAGCTAAAGCAATTGGACCATTAATCCTCAACCCACTTGCTCGACTAAACCAATGGGCTAAACCAGATTGACAACCCTCTAATTCTTCTTTTTTTCTTTCTTCTTATTGTTGTTTATCCCAATTTGATCGACGACGAAAGACGAAATGAAAAAATAAATACTTGTGATTATATCACTAGTTTTGATCCTGGAGGTCATATGCTCAAATCTCTTAAATAGTACTTAAACAACAAAAAGTAATCTTATATAAAAAGTAATCTTATACAAAAGGTTCAAATCGGCCTTGTATAAAAAAGAAGAAGAGTAAATGTCATTCGAAAAGAAAGGCTAGATATAATTTATAAATATCTAAACAATACAATCACTGTTGTGAGCTATTGGCTAAATTATGGCTTGAACTTTGTTTTTTTTACAGAATTGTGGGCAAAGCAATTAATAGATATGGCTCAAGTTTTGATGGATGGTTTATATTCGGTTTACATCTTTTCTCCTCAAAGGAGGGATTTGTCTTTGTGCACTATATCCCCATGTGTTGATGAATGGATGGGAGGTTAGGGAGAAAAAATGATAGTAGAACACTTTAGTCAAACCCTTATGGAACACTAACCACGTTGTTACTTTAATAAGTATCTAGATATGCAGGGCCTTCTCTGAAATTTTGAACACCCACTTTCCGAAATAAAATGTGGTCCTAACTTTTTTTAATGTAAAAAATAAAAATTAACGATATGAATTAATAAATAAAAATTATATATCTTTAACAAATTTCTATATAATATAATGACATTAAGAAACCAATCAACACGTGAGAACGATTAAAAATTTTAACTAGTTGTAGAATTACTTTAGACAAAGAATCTTGTAATAACATAAGCACATGAAATACATCATTGCCATCAATATCATATGGCTCATTGTTATTGAGTAACTTTTCAATGCAAGAAGACTTTAGACTCCCATCATCCAAATAATAAAACTTATTAAACAAGAAATAAAAAATAGACTCGAAATTATGATATTGCTCGAAGATTTTACTAAACAAAAAAATTGCTTGATTCACCACGTATATGAAATAACAACTAACTCATCAATAAATAAATAAACTAACTCTAAATCGTGGTTCTAAAAAGCGCGCCTAGGTGATATTAAAAAAGAATCAGGTTAAGGCTCAACGGAGTTGACTAAGGCATACTGTGGTATGGGTAGTAGTCCATTTGGTTGTGGGCTAAACAACCTATGTCTCCATCTAACTAATTAGGGGTGTCACAATTCGGTCTCATGCAAAGGTTAAGCTAATTCATAATGCAAAGAAAAAACTATCGCACATGAAAGCAACAAACATGAAAAAATCTCACATAGGTACCTAGATGCTCAGTTTCTCATGCAAATTCCTCACTCTCTATGCATAAACAACCGAGGATCATGATTAACCAAACAAATTTCGTGTAGTTTTGCCATCAAATGAAGACTAACAGATACAATCTTACTAGAGTTCTCAGTCATCATTATAACTTGCTTTCATTCTCAATCATACTACACATGCATTGAAGTAAATGAGCCACAAAATTCAAAAAACAAGTTCATACAGTGCCCACTATGATCATTAACAAGAAGTAAATCATACTTGGTGCCCTCAAAATCAAAATGTTTTACAATGGACTAGGCTCCAAAAATTCACAATATCAATCACAACCATTCATCATTCAGAATTCAACAACCCCAAACTTTAGCACAAAATTCAAAAAGAAAAAGAAAAGCACAAGATACAAAATCGGCTCTAGGCGTCGTTACTCTTTATTGATGGTTATGCAAAATTAGTTATTGACCGGATCTACTCCCTAATAATATCTTAATATGTTTTGCGAAAAAACTTAGGACCTTCAGATTGCGTTACTACCACTATCGGTACCACCCTTTCACCACCATCATACCACCTTGTATTTCATTTTACCACCATTGTAGAACCAACATACCATCATTGTACTGTTAGTATGCTTTATAAGATCCATTATTGAAACTCTTCCAATAACTCGAGTTATCGACATCAACTGGTTTTTGACATGGCGTTGGAGCCTTCTGTGTCTAAGAGGTCTTTTGTTCCAATCCTAGTAAACCCCCATTTGTAAGCACATGGTATTTGATGCATATGCAAATTTTAAGCCTATATTAGTCGCTTTCATTTGAGGGGAGAGTTAGTGTGCGGTATAAGATCCATTATTGAGCATCTCCCAACAACTTGAGTTATTGGGATCTATTGATGTCAGCTCGGCAAAGTCAGAGGAGCATCTAATCTCCAACGGCTATATTGAACAAAGAAGGAAAGTGAATAGAAGCTGGAATCAGAGGAGCTAACTGATAAGCCCCAACTCTACGAGGCTGAATTATCCACGCTCGTCAAGAGCTCGTACACGCAAGCTTGCTGTTTATTTTCTGTGGAGAAACCCAATTCTCAAAGAAAACAGGGGAACAGGGGAATGGATGGTTGGATTGTGCAACTTTAACACCAATTGGGGAAGAGGCTCGCTCCAAGTTCAAGGTAGCAACCCGACCACGATCGAGGTGATGACTCAATCGATACAGGGCTCGCTCGTCGCTGGCAATTCGAACCAAGCAACAAGGACAATCCACAAGTAGAAAACTCAATGAACACAGTTCTTAATTGAATAACGTCCAACCATTACAATGGAGTTCTAGGCCTTTAAATAGGCGAACTTAAACCTAATTCAACTACAAAACGAACATGGAAAGCTAATTAAACTATACTATGAATAAGGTAACAATCCCAAACTAAAAAGGACTTCCAACTCGTTCATACTTCCCTTTCTTCTAGCTCAAGCAAACTGCCTCCAAAACAGGCTTCCCTAGCATCTTTGAGCCTCACGTTCACATCCCTCCAGGTCTCCTTCTCCTTAGCCAATACCTTGCTTCTGTATACAAACAAACACGCTTTCATGTGGTACAAAGCTCCTTTCCTGATTCGATCCCATCTTCCCTGAACGGAACTCCAAAGTGACCTTCCTGACCATGCCTCCAGACTTAGCCAAATTCTGGTAGTTTGCCAGTTTTAAGATAGCTACTTTGACGCCTTGAAACACAGCTTTAATGGCCTTGTATAAGCCCAAATCCCATGCCATATTAAAGAGGAAGTTCTCATCTTCAAACCAACACATTAACCTCTCATTTATACCAACCCTATCGGAAGATTCGAGCTTGCAAAGTAGGCTACCCGAACTCGTCATAACACTTAGCCAAAAACTCAGGTTGCGCAAATGAGTTGGCTTAACTTCTTGAACAAACAAATCGAGCTTGGAATGGAATAAATTTAAGCTCATATCACTAACCAAGCGGTGAAAAACAAAGGCAAGTTTGCGCCATGAGTGCCTGGAAATTGAAGTATAAAAGACTGTCCTTTAGAATCATTCGATACAGCTTTTCTGCAAGGGAAAATCCGTACAACAAAGGGAAAGTGTGTGTGATTTTCAAGCGAGAAAAGTGGGTCAGAGATAGAGAGAGATTTCTGGGTTGAAATTGATCTATCTAAGGTCTATTGGCTGGGTAGTTGATAGGAGTGTGAGTGAATTAAATCTCAATCGAGCAGGCAGCTGATTGAGGGGGAGTTGGTTGTATCTGTAACTATTCGTGTGCTGTAATCTCATTATCTTTAGTGAAAAATCAGGGATCGCTGGTTCGCGAATCCCTGATCGTGGACTAGTCGGTGCTGGGATTCATATTTA